GACGCATGCTGGCGCGGGCACTGGGGCCTTCGGTGGAGCTCCCTATGGAGCCACGAAGCGTGTGAGGGGTGTGCCGAATTGGGTGTGGGTGACGCATGCGGGCGCGGGCACTGGGGCCTTCGGTGGGGCTCCCTATGGGGCCACGAAACGGTGTACTGGGTGGGTGAAGAGGAGAGGAGGAGAGGAGAGGAGGAGAGGAGAGGAGAGGAGAGGAGAGAAGAGGAGAAGAGAGGAGAGGAGAGGAATGATGATGATAATGACGATGATGATGATGATGATGATGATGATGATGATGATGATGATGATGATGGTGATGATGATGATGGCAGGAGGGAGGGGGCAGCGGGAGGAGGAGTGAACGCGGGGCGCTGTCTCTTCAAAACGAGGACCCAACACCACAGGATGGTTGGGAACAAGTAATACAGGTAGTAGTGATAGTGATAGTAGTAACATCAGTGGTGGCAGTAGTGGTCGTGGTAGTGATAGCGGTAGTAGTAGTAGTAGTAGTAGTAGTAGTAGTAGTAGTAGCAGCAGCAGCAATAATACACATAGTAGCATCAGTAGGTGTAGCAGTAGCACTAGTACCGCACGAGCAGTGGCAGTAGTACGGGTAGAATTAAGAGTAGCGGTAGTTGTAAGAGGTAGTGGTCGTGGCACTGGTAGTGGCAGTCAGTGAAAGTAGAAGTAGTAGTAGCAGCAGCAGCACTAGTAGTAGTAGTAGTAGTAGTAGTAGTAGTAATAGTGGTAGTACAAATCATAATACTGATCGTGGTAGTGATAGTGGTAGTCAAAGCCGTGGTCGTAGCAATCGTAGTAGTAGTCATAGTAGCAGCTGTAGTAGCCGTAGTGGTAGTCCGATTAGTAATGGAAGCCGTAGTAGCAGTAGTAGTAGTAATAATAATAATAATAGTAGTAGTCGTAGTAGTAGTAGTAGTAGTAGTAGTAGTAGTAGTAGTAGTGGTAGAAGTAGAGTAATAGTGAAGGTGGTAGTAGGACGTAAATGGGTAGGTAAAACTGCAGTAGGGGAGCAAGTAAGCCCATACGTAAGGGAGTAGTAGTAGTAGTCGTCGTCGTAGTAGTAGTTGTAGTGGTAGTGTTGGTAGTAATACTAGTAGCAGTAGAAATCGCAGTAGCAGTGGCAGTAGCAGAAGTAGAATTAGTAGTAGTGGTGGTGGTGGTGGTAGTAGTAGTAGTAGTAGTCATGAACATAATATGAATGATCGTAGAAGTCGAAGCAGTAGTGGTTGTTGTCGTCGTAGAAGTAGTCGTAGTAGGAGCAGCGGTTGTAGTAGTAGTCGTCGTCGTCGCCGTCGTCGTCGTGGAAGTCGTGGTGGAAGTCGTGGTGGTAGTCGTTATAATAATAGTCGTAGTCGTAGTCGTAGTCGTACTAGTAGTGGTAGTAGTAGTCGTAGTAGCAGGAGTAGGGGTAGTAGTGGAAATAGATGTAGTAGTAGTAGTAGTAGTAGTAAGAGTAGTAGTAAGCGTAGTAGTAAGAGTAGTAGTAGAAGAAGAAGAAGTAGTAGTAGTAGTAGTAACCGTACTAGCAGGGGTAGTCGCAATGGCAAACGTACCAGTAGTAGTAGCCGTTGAAGTCGAAACACTATTACAAATACATGAACATCATGAACCGTGTATGCGAGACGTATGTTGAATTCAATCAAGCGCATAGGCGTATGTCAAACGTATGGGAAGCGCAACTGAATCGCATGCACGTTTAGGAAACGCATGTGAAACGCAAACGAGCCGAACGTGATACGTGAATGAAACGTATGGACAAGCAAACGGGATGGAACTATGTATGCATCGTAGTTGCATGGAACTATATACAAAACGAAAGGAAACCTGAGACGTGTGAAACGTATGTGAAACAACGTGTGTACGAGATGCACGTGCGTGAAACGTACGGAACCCAAAATGGCGTGTTCAGATTTCCGCCCCGAAATTGCCCGCATAGGTTCCCAGAGGCTCATGAGGCGTCCCCAACAGGCGCCTGAAGGATCCGAAGAAGCATCCGGGAAGGCCGAAGAGGCCCCGACGAGTCCTGCAAGAGGCCCCCGAAGGGCATCCCAACAGATCCTGGTATCCACCCACGACGCCTCAGCACTGACAGCTCGTGCACGGTGGCGGAGTGGGCCGAAGGCCATTCGATAGCTGCGGCCCTCACAAAATCCTCCACCCTCCTCATTCTCCTCCTTCTCCTCCACATCCGCGTCCTCCTCATTCCCCTCCTTCACCTTCTACACCCATGCCGCATGATGCCCCCGAGACCGCCGTCGGCCACGACCACGAGAGCTCCCCAATAATTGGCGGCCAAATGGCACCACATGTGGAAGCCGTTCTCGCCTTCCTCCGCTTCCTTGTCCTCCTCCTCCTCATCCTCCTCCTTCCGCTCATCCTCATCATCATCATCATCAGCAGCAGCAGCATCACCATCACTATTACCATCACCATCACCAACACTATAAAGGAGCGCATGCAGCTCACCAGCACCATCACCAGCAGCTGCTAAGGAGCGCCTTAACGACTGCTAAGGAGCGCCTTACAAGCTGCTAAGGAGCGTTCTACAAGCTGCTAAGGAGCGCCCTGAAATTTGCCAGGGGACTCCCCAAAGGCTGCTAAGGCGCGTCGTACAAGCTGCTAAGGGGCGCCGTTAGGGTTGCTAAGGAACGCCTTGAAGCTGCTAGATGCTGCAAAGGAGCGCCTGAACAGCTGCTAAGGAGAGCCTTAAATATGTTAAGGAGCGCCGTAAAAGCTGTTTAGGAACGCCCTAGAAACTGCCAGCGAGCGCCCTAAGAGCTGCGACGGACGCCGTAAAAGCTGCTATTACGCGCCGTAGAAGCTGCTAAAGAGCACCGCAAAAACTGCAAAGGGGCGCCGTACAAGCTGCTAAGGAACACCTGAAATGCTGCTAAGGAGCGCCGTAGAGCTGCTAAGGAGCGCCGTAAAACTCTGATCATTCTAACCAGTCCCGGTTTCTCTATGCAATCCCAGGGCAGGGTCGCCCGTGGCACCCATACATTACCAGCATCATCACGCCCTACACACGCAACCCATGACAACCATGCACAGGGCCGTCAAGTACCATCATCATCATCATCATCATCATCATCATCATCATCATCATCATCATCATCATCATCATCATCATCATCATCATCATCATCATCTACAAGGTCGCTCATGGTACCCATATGTGCCGGACATACGCCTTCCCAGGGAGGTGTGCTTGCACGTACATATACACATTCATACATTCATTCATACATACATACATACATACCTACCTACCTACGTACCTACCTACCTACCTACATACATACATACATACATACGTATACATACACATCTGTGGTTTTATGTACATATGTGAAGCGACGCGGAACCATGGGCGGCCGCGCGCGTCAACCTCCGAGACCAACGGCCTCAACGGGAGGGGGGAGACGTGGTGGAGGAGGAAACGCTTTTTTTGCAAGCAGCGCCAAGTCTTCAAATCGGCTCCCAGACATTCCATACAGCTCTGATATACCAATTACGATGGAGAAGGGGCCAGCGGCAGAGGGCAAAGCCCTTACGGATATCGGCAAATAACAGCTACCGACTAGCGGCAAATAGCGGCACACGCCCCGAACCAACCCTCCACCATCACCCCTTATTCGCCGCTGATGGCCGCTGAACGCCCGAAAAGAAACGTTCAGTGACATGCTAGGCTTCCATAAACAACATCTTGCCGAAAGACCCACCCATATGCAATTGTGAATGCCGCGGTTGTGAATATCGTCGTCGGTGGACCTCCCTATGGGGCGACGAACCGTGTGAATGGTGTGTCGAAATCGGTGCGGATGACGCCTGCGAGCGGCACACTTGGAGCCTTCGGTGGAACGCCCACAAGGGCCACGAAGCGTGTGAGGGGTGTGCCGAAGACGGTGGCGGGGACGCATGCGAACGGTACCACTGGGGCCTCGGGTGCAACTCCCCATGGGGCCACGAAGCGCGTGAGGGGTGTGCCGACATGGGTGGCGGGGACGCAAGCGAACGGCACCACTTGGGCCTTAGGTGGACCTCCATATGGTGCCACGACACGTGTGAGGGGTGTGCCGAAACAGGCAGCGGGGACGCGTGCAAACGGCACCTTTTTGGCCTTGGGTCAAAAACTCCACACGGGGTCACGGAGCGCGTGAAAGGCGTGCCGACATGAATGGCGGGGACGCAGGCGAACGGTACCATTGGGGGCCTGAGGTGGAACTCCCCATGGGGCCACGAACTGTGTCCCGAAATGGGCACGAAACGTGTAAGGGGTGTGCCGACGTGGGTGGCGGGGATGCGTGCAAACGACACCATTGAGGTTTGGGGTGGAGCCTTGGCTCCCCAACGGGGCCACGAAGCGTGTGAGGGGTGTGCCGAGGTGGATATGTGGGCGGCAGAGGCACGGAGGGGAGGAGGGGGGAAGGGGGGGCGGAGAGGAGGAGAGGAGACACGGGGCGCTGTCTCTTCAGAACGAGGACCCAACACCACAGGATGGTTGGGAGCAGACGTAACCGCACGGTGTGGCCACCGCACCGACTGGGGGACCCCGCACCTGCGGCGCCTGGTGGTTTTCGTGTCATGGCACAAGCCTCCGGCGGCCGACCGTGACGATCCGGGCAGCCCTGGCACGCTCCCGGCGAGGCGCGGCTGCTGGTACTCCTCCCCAGACTGCAACGCCGCTGAGAGCTTACGAAAACGTCCGGAAACCTCGGGCCCCGGGCCCCAGGGGTCACTGCCTTCGCCTCTGCGTGGCCACCGCTGCTGCCGCGCGAGGGAGGGGTAGGGGGAGGAGGAGGAGGGGGAAGAGGAGGATGAGGAGGAGGAGGAGGAGGAGGAGGACAGGGAGGACAGGGAGGAGGAGGAGGAGGAGGAGGAGGAGGAGGAGGAGGAGGAAGTGGAGGAGGAGGAGTAGGAGGAAGAGGAGGAGGAGGAGGAGGAGAGGAGGTGGAGGGGGAGGAGGGGGGGGGGAGGAGGTCCCGGTAGGAACCCACAACGCGCTCCGCCAGCACCTGGGCGGGGTCGGACCGCCCACCGTCACGAGCTGCGCCGCGAACGGCGTCGAGCGCCGACCGCGCGGCGTCGAGGGCCTCCGGCGCTAGGGCCGCGCGGCGGCTTGCATCCTCTTCGGGAAGGAGGGGGGGGAGGAGGAGGAAGAGGACGAGGAGGAGGAGGAGGAGGAGGAGGAGGAGAGGAGGAGGAGGAGGAGGAGGAGGAGGAGGAGGAGGAGGAGGAGGAGGAGGAGAGGAGAGGAGGAGGAGGAGGAGGAGGAGGAGAGGAGGAGGAATGGGGGGGTGAGGAGGAGGAGGAGGAGGAGAAGGAGGGGGAGGGGGAGGAGGACAAGCTAGGTGCGCTCGTGTCATATCTGACATCCTACCCCTCCCTCCCATCCCTTACCATGGCGTAGATCCCCTCTCTACTCGCACAGTCGGATGTCGAGCAGGGCAATGATCCCGAAAGGGTACGCGATGCATTGTAGAGCATGGAATAGCATGGCGTAGAAGAGCACCGCAAAGCGTAGTATGTCACAGCATGGCGTGGCGTGGCGTAGTGAAGAATTGCATCACAAAGCTTTGCAACGCAAAGCATGGCATCGCACAGCGGCCCCGAACATAACATTGACGTGGCACTTAAGCACAGGATCAAAGCGTAGCATGGCATAGCATGACGTGGCACTTAAGCACAGGATATGACAGCTGCAGCTGAAGGCATGGCATCGCGCAACGGAACGCAACCTAGCATTGCATAGCATGCCGTGGCATGGCACGGGAAATAACGCCAGCGCTGCAGCGGGAGCACGGTTCGGAACGAGCGGAAGCGCGGAAATGAGGCCAGCGCTGCAACGGGAGCACGATTCGGAACGAGCGGAAGCACGGAAATGAGGCCAGAGCTGCAGCGGGAGCACGATTCGGAACGAGCGGAAGCCCGAAAATGACGCCCGCGCCTCAGCGAGAGGCGCATTTTGAAAAAAAGACCCAAGCGATAACCCAACTCCGGGAAATCCTGTGTCAAACAACAATGCGCGGAGGGGTGCCCGCTATCTTCCGCACGCCATCAGGGGATGGAGGAGAGTAGTATTCATATTGTGTAATTGTGCAGGAGGAGGACGAGGAAGAGGAGGTGGAGGAGCAAGAGGAGGAGAAGTGGCGGGAGCAGGAGGAGGAAGAGGAGGAGAAGCTGGGGGACGAGCAGGGTGACGGGGAGGAAGAGGAAGATAGGAGAAGGAGCAGACAAAAAATGATAAGGAGAAGGAGAAAAGGATAAGGAGAAGGAAAAAGAGGAGGAGGACGAAGTGGAGGAGGAGGAGGAGGAGGAGGAGGGATGAAAGGGAAAAGCAAAAAGGAGGAGAAAAAGGAGGTGTAGAAGAAGAAGAGGAGGGGGATGAGGAGGAGGAGGAGGAGGAGGAGGAGGAGGAGGGAGGTGAGGAGGAGGGGGAAGAGGAGGGCAGGAGAAGCAGGAGGAGGCGGAGGAGGAGGCGGCAGAGGAGAGGAGGGGGAGGAGGAGGAGGCTCGCGCAACGAGTGCGTGCGCTCAGCGGCCTGCCTAGGAGGAGGAGGAGGAGGACAAGGAGGAGGAGGAGGAAGAACTGGAATTCAGGGTTGCAAAATTGTCAAGTAGAACACATGGCGGCAATGGCATCAGGAGAGATAGTCAAGCGAATGTCTTTACGTTTCCCACGAGCAGCCAGCGGGGAAGGCTGAGAAACCGAACCAGGGATGAAAGTAACAGCGCCTTTGCGAAACAAACACGACCGTCGCGGGCGCCCGCAGAACGACGGGCCAGAAGCGCGGGCGGCACCAACACCCCAGGACACGACTGCTTGTGCTCGTCCATGGGACGAATAAATAAAGACTTACCCGACGTCTCCGTGCAACGACGTGAAATCTGAAATGCGATGGTATTGTGCCAACATCTTCCTGCAATGATATGTTGCACATATGAGGCCAGAAGAGCGCTTACCAGAGTGCGCCGCGAGCAGGCGAGCAGGCCGGAAGGCGCCTGAGACAAACCAGATCCCAGACCGATGCAAAATAAGAGGAAAACTAAAACAACTAAAGTTGCTACAACCAAAACAAAAATCGTCTTGCGCCACAATTGCCACGGAGGAAAAGGAGGAGGAAGGAAAGGAGGAGGAGGAGGAGGAAGGGGAGGAAGGGGAGGACGGGTGCCCAGCCTCAAAGAGCCCGCGGCGCAAAGCGCAGAAACAGCCACTTACTGTCGGCCAGGGGGCCCTCAGCCCCAGGACAGCTGCGCCGCCACCAGAGCCTGCCCACAGGGATCACGGCGGGAGGCGGCGCGCAAACGCGAGAACGAGCTAACAGTAAAACGAGCGCAACGTTGCAAGCAAAATGAGGCGCAGCCAATGCACTCTGGATCGGATGCCCGCAGTCTCCGTGCCCCAACTATGGAATCCTGGCGATGCTGATCAGAGGGACGCCGGGAGCGGTCAAACCTGTGCGTGCGCGACCGAGCAGCATTGCTACATGGAGGGGGCGGGCGTTCGTCGAGCAAAGAGGATCCCCTGCCACTCGAGATGCCCCCGCGCGCGCGGCAAATCGCCACGGCCAGGGCAACGAACAGCTCGTGCCCACGAGCCACCCAAGAGAACCCAGAATCGAATCGATGAGTCGGATCGGCGATCGACATAAATCGGATCGGCGGAAATCCGCAGCCAAGTCGGGAGAAGTCGAATCGGCGGAAATCGGCAGAGTAGCGGGGCCTCATTGAGAAATCGGAATCCAAATCGGAATGTGAAGTCGAATCGAATCGGAATCGGAAGCCATCGAAATCGAATCGAATCGAATCGGGGAAATCGAAATGAGCCCACGAGCCACCCCAGGAAGCGCAGCGCCCGGCGCGGGCAACCGCGCCGCGGGGCGGGCCCCAGAAAAAGCGCGGAGCCACCGCGGCCCCCCCCCCGCGAGCATGTTACGCCGCTGCGGGGCCCGCCCGACGCGGGGCCACGCGCGGACTCGGCAACGGAACGGATGGCATCGCCAAGTCGGCGCTCGCCGCTGCGTGGCGAATTCCCTGCCCCACTGAAGGGGACCTGGGACACACAAATAAATACACACAAATAAAAGGATTCCCAATATTTTCCTATATTTTCTGGGTTTTTGTCTTCCCCCCCACTTCCCATATTTTCCCATATTTTCCTGGGAGTGGGCGAATAATTGTGTCTGTGTGTTTTTCCCCCTCCTGACCCACCCCCGTCCGAAGGGGGCCGGGGCAACGACTCGAGACCCACGGGTTCTTGGCCCTGGGGAAGGGGGCCGAGGTCGCTGGGATCCCCTTGGTTTCTGAGGGTGCATCCCCAAGATTGTCGTCGCCTTCTGGCGCATCAACCTTATGGATAGGGACAAGTTCGAGGCTGGACATGTGGTCAGAATCATATATGATCTACATACCCGAAAGGGGGGCGGAAAACGCCGGGGGGGGGTAGAGCTTATTCCCTTTGCGCCCCTCAGGCATCGGCCCTCCGGCTGCCTCGCCACTCCCGGGCCTCCCGCCTGAGTGCGCGCCCGGCACTGCCCGAAGCCGCGGGCCCCCCCCCCCTCGCCCCCGCCTCCAACGACGGGCTCGGCGACGACCCCCCCGCCCCGCCGACAGGCGAAACGTCGCGATCGATCGGAGCAGGAGAAGATGCACGGCGGCCGCGCCTCAGATTGCGCGCCACTGTGGCTATGCCTACTGCCATCGCCCGGAGCAAACGCAATTAGGCAACACAAAATTGACTCCGCAAGGAAAGGCTTCTTCGCGGTTATTCCCCGCTGTCTGTCGGAGCCGATGGCGTTGCCACAGGCGCGGCATCTCCGCCCCCGCCAGGTTCGACCACGTTTGCGAACCATGGTAACATTAGCAGGCTTGGTCACCCTAACAGAATAGGAGCAGCCGTGGAACGCCAAGCCCGCTGCTTCTGCTCAAAACGTCGCTGCTCCGGGGGAGAGATGGCGTTCGCGTGCGACGCGTGAGCCCGAGACACCCATCAATGGGTGTGCCGGACATTCTGGTGCCGATGTTTCATAGTCTGAGCATCCTGCGAAGACGCCCCATGCAAATCCCGCTCCTGGGTGGCCGCAAATCACCCCAGCGGTTCCTGCAATCCTCCAGAGGCCTGTTATTTGGTTACTCAGCCCTCCAAAATCCTCCTATCGCCACCTCCAGATCGCAATGAAAAGATCAATGTTCGGACGCTTGGGCTGGCATACCCAGGCCTTCATACGAGCGAGTCTCTGCGGCATGTCGAGGTAGCCCGTGAAGACGCGCATCGGTGGAAGGGGAACTCGAAGAATTAGCGCGACCTCGTAACGTTCAGCACATGGGCTCATCTGGGTCGGACCAAGAAACGCACAGAACGCACATGAGACAACCGAGAGATCACCAATTCCAGCGTAGCCCCATCCACAGTAGCGATACTTCCTGCAAGCTCCAACTGAGAATGCGCTTCCAGACACGAACCCCGCAATCGCCGTAGTGAGAGCGCGGCGCACGCGAATCGCCCATTCGCAGAATGGGGAAAAGTGGCCTTCGATCGCAAACCACGATACCAAAACCATGATGAAGGGTTCGGGCATGGAAGGGCGCGGATGCTGTTTTCATCGCAGAGGGAACTGCGACGTCGTCTGCGCGACCAGAGGCCATGAAGTGTGAAAGGAATCGACTACATTACGCGGACAGAGAAAGCATTGCGCACTGTCGCTGAATCCGAGAACAGGGCTACGGACAGAGGGCCACAGACCCCCAGAAACCGCAACCCGAAGAGTGCCGCATTCTGCCTCGACAACGCATAGGGGCGCTCGGGCCCCCCCCCTTGCTCGTCTTGCTCCAACCATTATCACGCGGGCCTCGGGGCCGGGAAAAACCGGAGAGCCACTCGCCAAGCTCGCTGGCACAATCCCCCCCGGAATGCCCCCTGGCCCAGCTTCGCGTGCGAGGCCCCTGTGCGCGAGGGGAGGGGAGGCCCGCGGGTCGACGCAATCTCCGGGCTGGGGCCCCAGCGAAGCACGCCCCTCTAGCGCGCGGGGTCGGCCCTGGCACCCCCCCCTGCCCAAATTCAAAGATCTCCTCCGCCTAGACATGACGGCGCCCAGGCCGAAACAGCCCGGCCCGGCTCGCGCCGCGAG